GATGCTTCTAGCTAAAGAAATTGAAACAGACCACCACGACTGTCAGAAAACAACCGCATAAAATCCCAGCTTTCTAGCTTTTCTGGTTCACGAATTAGCAACTCACCCGCCGAAAATTTTCACATGCCCGCACATGCGTGCCATGTATATCTGGGCGCTGAATTTGAGGCCACCAGGTTTCACGCAGACGGGGAATATCCTCTTAAATTTTCAACTTTCTAACTTTCCTAGTTCCTGACACAGCAACTTACTCTCCAAAAACTTTTACTGGCCCGTAAGTGAGAACCACGCTCATCTTGGTGCTGAATCTGAAGTGATTAAATTGTAAGCGGAAGGGGAATATCCCCTTAAAATCCCAGCTTTTTAGCTTCCCGAGTTATCAGCTTGCCCACCAAAAATTTTCACGGGCCCGTACCTGGGAACCACTTAGGCAGGAGCGTTCATTTTGGGGATACGGGCCCGCACGCGAGCATAGGTCAAGACACCAAAGTTTCAGCCTTGTAGCTTTTCTGGGTTTTGAGACGAAAAATCGGCACGGACGTATCGACACTGATGATTAGGATGGTGAAGGGGAAGACTGTGATGCTTAGGATTGTGTATGCAATCAACTGGTAAACAAACAAACAAGCAAGTAAACAAAGGAACCAGACACACACACACACACACAGAGACAATCTCTCCACAATATGCGTTTTTGCATTGCATAGATGCAAAAAATGAATAACAAACAGCGAGTAGCGATGAACGAACCTGACTGAAAGCGGCGGCTCCGTGGTGTCCTGAGAGCTTTGCTCAACCATGCAGTCTCTGCGCACCCGTTAGTCGAGGAACTGTTCCATTTACAAATGCTAAAAATTATCAGAAATTAGTCCCCTATCGAATAATCAACAAATGCCAGGCCACGCTCTCCTTGGGGCACCCCAAAATCCAGGATGACCGTCCTCAAGTGACCGGAACGATGAGGCGACATGCCACTCTCCCGCACCTCAGCAGAAGAGGAAAGAGGAAAATCAGCGCGCACTGATGCGATATGACACTGCATATCGGGAGCTCGAAAGACCACGTGAAAGCGACAACCCACACGTACGTGTACCGGCCAATGCTTAAAACTCGGCCCGGCCCGGCCACGCAATATGCACTCGTTCTTGGCTTGAGGCTCGAAATCCAAAAACGGTGCTACCGGCTTTTTTTTCCAAGCAATTTTCAGCTGTCGCGTTCAATATTGTCAACTTCCCCTCAGCAACAAGTTCGTTGATGAGCGGAAGAAACCCATGCAGCCCCTCCCCCCGATAGCCCCGCACCTGCTCCTAGTCCCATGTTCAAGTGGAACCTCAAAACTCCTTTCTAGCAACTAATTGCATCCCCCCTCTCTCTCCGTCACAACCCC